CTGGGGAATTCTGGGAGTTGAAGTCCGCACATCTTAAAGTTGCCAAGGTTGAGAAACACTACTCCATCCAATGAAGTTTTAACCCCAAGGTAATTCTCCTGGCACCAGATAAAAAAGCCTACCATATTTGGGCCAACATAAAACCATCAGTATAACTCTTTCCCTCTGCTCTTTTATTTGCTGAAGATCTCTTGCTGTAAAACAGATGGAGGAGAGCTGTGCAGAAGTTTGGCTGAGGCTCGTCAAGTGGAGCACCTACGTCTACTGAGCTTGGAAACTGATCTCTGGATATAAAGTAGGGCACTTCTTTGCCTTCCATTCTCACTAAAAGACTCAGCGGAAGAATTTGGGCAAAAACTAGGCCCCTCTTCGCTCCTCAAATAAATCCAAAAAATAACAGTCTTCTTCAAGAGGAAACTAGCGATCACGTTCTATGGACACACACACACTTCATACATACATTTATAAGGGCAACTAAAGAAAAGTACTGATACTGAACACAGCGTTATTTGGTAAAGAACAATTTTCACGGGAACAAGCATAAAAATATTAAGTTACTCAATTATTTCATCATGTAAATCATTAATGTTTTATTGTGGATAACATATTGCTAGATGCAAGAAAAAAAATTAAAATTGGGGCCCCAAAGTGAATAATTAGGTTACTATTAGCTCCCCGGTTCCTGTTATACATCTGCAAAGAAGCCATGGAAGTTTCAGAGACGGTTCCATTTCTGTAACCTGATTGCATCACTGAAGGCAGGGGTGGCCATGCCACGGAGAGACCAACTTCTCCTCTACGGCTCCGACGCACCCTGAGATCCTGCCACTGGGACCCGACCACAACGTGGCCAATTCTTAGCAGCGTCTTTTGTGGTGCAGAACAGCCCAAATTAAGAGTGCAGATCAGAGTACATGCAAAGGGCACCCCCATCATTAAATCCCCCCAAGCCCCCAAATCATAAAAAGCCTAAAACATTCAACACCTCCTCCACCCTGAAAAATCACTGCGCCATCAGAAATCTGAGAAGGTTTCACGAGACCGATTTTACAGTCTAAGGGACACCTCTGTCCTCAGAAATCTGACAACTCTGGAGCCGCTAAACTGATTCCCGAAATCTGCTGTGGCTTGCAAGGATCTTTATTTCCTTGCACGAATTAAGGTGATAACCCTAACTCGCTTTTGTAAGAGCAATTGCGCTAGCAACTGAGCAGACTGGGTTTCCCAGCCGGGGGGAATCTTAAGACAAACTGCTTGTGAGACTGAAGAGACTTTTTTCAGGAAAAGACACAAACTCAGAGGTTGCAAAAAGCTGTTCTGGAACTCAAACAAATAAATAATAAGGTGTTTCAGTTCAGGTGTTTATTCAGACATCTCCGATCAGTGCTTTCAATTCGGATGACTTATGTTCTAGTCTTATTTCTGGCATTCAAGATTCTTTTATTCCATTTGATAAATGCCAGTGGGATATGACGTAAATGCTGCCTCCATGCAACATTGTGAAAATAAGCTCAGGCTTGTTAATAACAAGTTTTCTAACTTTGTTGCTGGGAATTTGTTACCGACAGTGTTTTACTGAGATTTGCCAATTACTGCATTTCTTGTTACAACTATGTGGGAACCACTCATGACCTTTGCCAAGATTTCACGCAACTGTTAGTTTTGCAAGTGCCGCAGCATGATTCGGAACATCTAAACGAAACAAACTTAGACCAGTTGATTGACCCTTGTTCTCCACCCAGTCTCCAGTGTCTTGAGAGAAGTGATCAGTGTTACGGACTCTTTCCTTCTGCATTCGGTGCTGTGGTTTCTTCCTGCAATAAACAGCCCAGCTGCTTTTGTGCACAAGAGAGGAACAGCTCCAAACTGGACAGGCTACGCTGACGGATCACTTGATCCAGCTGTCAGGACAGAAAAAGCAGAGATTAAGCAAAACGTAGTTAATTCCAAAGAAACACTCCTTTATTTAAACACATTGCATGTGAATCCATAGGAATCTGTTAATGCACAGTGCTTAGTGTCACATATCACAATTGGCTTAATTACTTCTAGCTCCAAACATTAAAAGATAAACCCAAAACCAAGGCTGTTATAGTCACTACCTTAGTTATTACAAGGAAGAAGTTTCAAATAATCTCTAGAGCGGTGTTTCTCAACCTCAGCAACTGTAAGATGGGTAGACTTCAACACCCAGAATTCCCCATTCCCCATCACCAACACCTGACATCACGTCTCTTAGGTAGAACTTCAAGATAGCTTAATAAAATATTAGGAAAAATGCCATTTCTTTCTCTTCCTCCTTTTTGCCGTCTTTTTGCTACTGAATCCCCGCAGTTGAGGGATCTCAGAGCTAATGAAACAGGCAAAATACACACCATTTCAGGGATTCTAGGAGAAGTTTCTCTTTGCTTCATTAATAACTATCCATAGTAGAAAAACACATAATAAAGATCATTAATAAAATGACTTTCTTCTCTCTGAACAACCTCACCAAGTTGTTTTGGAATGTTGTCACAGAGTCTTTGGGTAACAGTTTGGATTGTGTAGTATCTTATTCTGCTGGAATATATCAAGATACCAGGATGATACCATCCACAGGATCCTTATACATGACCTTCCAGCTTGGATTCCAGGAGTTCAATCTAAGTAGGAAGTTTAATTTCCTGGCTGAAACTGGGGGAGACTCCTGGGCCCATTTCTATAATCCCCAAGTTAGATGTCCTAACTTTTGAGCAGCCAGTCATATTAGTGAAAGATGATTTACCTTAGTCATATTAATCAAAGACAGTTGCAAGGTGCTATTATCTGCATGTATGAGAAGGGTGGAAAAGATGACCATGCCAATTAAAGACCTATTGTTTTCAATAATTGGTAAATTATATCCTACTAATCTTAGTAGGCAATCTTGGATGGAGGACGAGGTGTTGAGCCCTGAGAAGGCTGGCATTACAGAGCATTATTCAATACCAGATCTCTATTTATAAGTCTGACCTGGCTGACCTTGGTTGATCTAGAAAGTAAAGCAGGGTTGACCTAGTTAGCACTTAAATGGGAATCCCAGAGCTACAGTCTAGACTGGGAAGTCAAAAGAAGGCAGTGGCAAACTATTTTGATTGTACCAAGAATGCTGCACAGATGAGTCCATGTTGAGATTGACCTCAAGGAGACTTCAGTTTTTAGTAGTACAGAAATATTTACACACACACACACACACACACACACACACACTCTATCTATCTATCTATCTATCTATCTATCTATCTATCTATCTATCTATCTATCTATTCAAATTTGGTCACTGTCCATCTCACAAGGAATTATGTCAGTATTGGCTAATGCTCTGTATAATGGACTTGTCTGCCTGATGTCTGCCCTTGATTCTGTTCCCAGGGAAAGATATGGGAGGAACTGAACAACTGTTTCACAGACTAAAGATTTCTGTATTTAATTTCATGCCTATGCCAGGATCATATAATTCAGGTAAGATATGGCATGGGGAAAACTAACCAATTCCATACCTGTTTCCATAGAAGGCCAGCAGGACAAAGTCCTTGCTCCACTTCCCATTGAGCTCACTCTCAAGATTTGAGTGGGGGCTGGCTGTGCCCTGCTTTTTTTTCACCCAAATGATTAAACATGGGATTTCCTCTTATTCTTGTCTGTGGCCAGTGCAATTCTTCTTTCGTTATCCAAGTGTGGATTGAAGCAATTTGTAAATTCATTGATGGTTGTCCAACTACTTGATCACCAACTTAGCAAACTCTGCAGTTTTCCAAACTGATCATAATGGAATTTCTTCTACACTAGTCCTTGTAGTCTAAGACATGAACGAAAATGTTGAAGAATTCCAGAAAAATCTTGTTGCCCCCACTTGATACATCATTCCAGTTTCATGAGGAACTCGTGATGAGAGCAAAGAATAATTTTATAGCTAGCTGTGAATCTATTTAAAGACATGACAACTAACCCACATTTAAGTAGCTTTCTATTCAAAGTGACAAATGCTTTGCTGAAGTCTAAATATACTTATAGTATTCCCACAATCTACTAAGGAAGTTTCCAATGAAATAAAACAAGGTGAGGCTGTTCATACTTGTTCTTCACAAATCCATCCTGACTCTTAATAATCACAGCATTATTTTTATGATAATGCTCTGGAATTCATGTTAGACCAACTTTTTTAGGGTTTCCCAAGTCTTTATTTTTCCACTTAGGGACAACCGCCCTCCTACACTCATCCATACTCTAGAAGTTCCCAAAGAAAAAGGATGGAAATTCACTCAGGCTATCAACAAATTCCTTCAGTAGCTGGGATGCACTCTACCTAGCCATAGAGATTTGAGGTCATTCATGATCAGTAGATATTCTGTCACTTTCCAATTTCTCCTTTTTGGCCCAGTGAAATGAGTCACATGTTGAGAACAAGATGGAAGCTTTTCAAGTGGCCGCTATCCGAAACAGGATGTAGAGTCTGAGAGCCTGGGCTTGTCCTGCTGCATTTCTCGTTCTTCTCCATTGCTTCAGTGTCAACGTATCTTATCTGAAGCCTGTATGATGTTTTAAGAACTTGGTGTTCAGTTTTAGAATATCTCTGGCGAAGAATGTGTTTATGAGATAAAGCTAGATAAAAATTAAGATGTGTAGCTAGGCTGTTTATAAAAATGGACAGAACAAATAAAATATCATAAGGAGCTCAGCAGGGAAGCTCCACCAACAGGGTGTAGAGCAGTGTTTCTCAACCTTGGCAACTTGAAGATGTGTGGACTTCAACTCCCAGAATTCCCCAGCCAGCTGGCTG